GACCAATGGCAGATGCTTATTGGAAGGCCTAGGCCCACACTGAAAAAAAAGGGACCTATATATATGTATATAGCCCATACAGAAACTTTACTGATGAAGAATGGCAACAATGTATCAACTTGTTCAGTAAGCCTGAATTCATTGTAAGTTCCTTAGCTCATATGTTCTGGAGTAAATTCTTTCTTCATTTGTAGTTTTATTATTATTAAGTGTCTTTTAATCTATATTTTTCTTGGTGTGAATAGGAACGATCTATCAAAAATTCTGAAAATCGAAGCAAGCATAAATACCCGTGTTTTCAAGGATCAAAAAGTTTGGTAGCCCATAGCATGGATTGGGTACATCTTATTCAGTTTAACATTTTTTTTTTATATAAAGTCATATAATTCCTTCTAGATATACTGAAATTGTTATTTGTGTTATAGAAATTGCAAGAAGCATTTGTTTTATTGCATTAGTATTTTTTTCTTAGGAATGTGACGAGGAAGAGGAAAGCGATCCGAGTTTTATAGTACTATTCAGAGAGATGCACACCGATAAAGAAAATGGGGAGTGGGTGAATAAGGCCGCCGAATCTGATTATGTAAGTTGAGCATATAGATATTGTATTTATTTTTACATCCCATAAATTTTCATAAACTACTTTTATGTAGTCTCGTCTTCTGGAAGCAAGAGAATCAGCACAACTCACTTCTCCTGATACCGTTGCTGATGAGAGAGCTATTATGCGGGAAGTATTTGGTACTCGGCGAGGTCATGAATGCGGTTTTGGACGGATCCTTAAGGGTTCCAAGTCCTCTGCCATCCATGATATTCCAGAATCATCTATTACTTCAAATACTGCTCGAAAAGAGACTCAAGGAGCTACCCCAAATGCTGAAAGTTATGCCAATCTACTGAAGGAGGTATGCTTATATTTGCACTTTTTGAATGCTAGTCTTTTGGACTTTTGACTTGTGCTTTCCTCGTGCGCCAAAAAAATGCTACTGCAAAGTTTTATTCATCACTTATCATTTGAGTACATGTAGTATAATTTTGCATAGTTATTTACATCTTTTATAATCACATGGCCCAACCTCAACTTGGTTCTGTTTTCCAAATCCCATTTTCTAATTCAAAGCAGCTCCATTCCAAAAAGTGTGGTCATGATGAACAAATTCTTGATTTGGGGGAATTTTATCGTGTCACGCACTTAAACAAGTTTCTGAGCTGCAGAATAGATTTAATGTGATTTTCCAATTTTTTTATGTTCTCTTGAATTTCCATCTGCTAAAATATTTCGACGTTGAAGTTCAATGATATGCTCGTAAGCTCAACTGGCAGATGCAGTGATTTTTCCCAAGATAAACGCCGAGAGTTAGCCGTACACTTTAAAAGCAATGCATTGGATTTTAATTTGGTTTGCTATGGATCTTTATTATTTGTGTAACAAAGTACTATAGCAATTTTCTTTTCTTGTATTGTTATTAGTAACGGACACATCAAAATAGCATAATTATTATTTTTCATTTTAGTGAGTTGCATTCTCCCTTTACTTGCAATTGCAATATATGACTGACTACACTCCCAGAAGCAAAGAAGTTTTGCCATTGGTTTTTGCTGTAGAGATTCGTAGGAGATAAGTTTTGATGAGTCATATTAGGCTAAAGAAAATATTGGTTCTTTAAACTTTATACAGAGTAATTTTGGTCTTGATTATTTAAACGAAATTTTTAAGTAGTCAAACTAGCTTAAACTTTGTTGAAGTTATACCTGTAACATGACTTTAATTTAATTTAACATTAGGCGTAGAGATGTTGCAATATTCACTCTTTTTTTTTAGGTTGGTTTCTAACTTTATTAATTATATGAGATGGTCCAAAGCTTGGGCGGCCTTTACGCTTAATCAATGTACATTTCATTACATTTTCTAGTTGATGATCGAGCATATATCATTCTAATATTTCACTTCGTTAGTTTTATGGTTGTGTTGTTCGCATTGTAGTTTGTCGCTATTTTTCTTTGCCTTTCGTAGAAAGTTCTCTACAATGTTTTTTCTTGAAGATGCATGTTGCTTTGTGTTCAAGATACTATTTGGTCATTTGGTACGGAATTGTAACTAACGTCTTTGTTTTACGTTTTTTTTTTTTTCTNNCCTTAAGTTTGAGAAGATGTCAAAGACGCTTGCACGGCTAAAGGCTAAGGTTGGGATTGACGTTGATGAAGAGGAGGAGACGGATGCTCAATTCACTCATCACGAGAATGAGAGTGAGCAATGTTGATGTTAGTTTGATATACTTCATTATATTTTCACTTTTGGTTGGTCTAGTCTCTTTTGGTATATTTTTGAAGCAAGAGAACCAAGTAATTTACATGGGGTTTTACTTGATGTATGACATAATGTATTGATTTGGTCCCAAGACTTTTGACATTTTGTATTTTAGTTGTGTATTGGGAACCATTAAAACAAATTAGTTGGTTGTGAAGTTGATGGAATGGATATATCTAATATGTATTTTTTGATTCGGAAACTTGTCTACTTTGACAATATTTTTTTGGTTGAATTATGTTGTAGTATTCAAGTTTAATTGGCATAAATATTTTGTATTTAAATCTTCATCATATATTGCAACAATAAATTTGTCACCAAAAGTTGAATGCATCTATGTATAATAACATCATTTGAAACGACATTTTTTGGTGTGTAATACCTATGGACACGTAAGAATTGGAACAACATATTGTTTTAGTTTATATTATAACAATAGCCACGACAATTATTGGCACAACATGCTCGTTATTTGATAAATACGAACATGACATCAATCGAGATGGAATAGGCACAACAAAAGTCGTGGCTATTACTTTTTCACTTATAGTAACGACTTTAGCGTGCCAATATACCAATAGACACACGTCTATTGGCACGACTTATTTGCAACGACATATCGTCCCAATAAACAAATAGTCACGATTTTAAAGGTTATAGGCATGATATTTAGTTGTTCCTCTTAAGCTTGTTTCTTGTAGTGATGTAATATTGCCATTAAAAAATAATTATAAGCCCAAATATTAAGACTAATAAATAAAGGCTTTAACAAAATTATAATTAGGTTGTTTAATAAGGCTGGTAGCAATTCTGATTCGCGCAACTCACAAGAGCTGAGGCAGATAAAAAGAGAAATAAAAAAAAAATAAAAAAAAAAAAAAAACTTATCAATTTTTGTTCCAATTGTTTGAGAAGACGACTCGCATGTAACAAAATCCCTTTATATTTATTTGGGTGGAGATAAGATTATTCTTTATTCTTTTAGATAGTGGCAAATATATTTTTTTTCTAAGTATGTAGAAATTCTAAATTCAATCTCTAAAGTGCTTATAGCTCTTTAAAGCGTGACATGTCGAAATCGAAAATTCCAAATTCAATCTCTAAGATATTTTCAAAAAAGGCCTCGCCAACAAAGTGCTTGTGAAATGTCTCACATTGAGATATTTTGAATCCAAATAGAATTGAGGGAAATTTTAGTATCATTGGGCAGAAAGAAAAATACGACTGGATATGTTTAATGGTGATCGAGGAGTTCGATTCTTCTCAACTTCCCTTTGATCCCATATTGAGAATTCCAATCTCAAGGTACAGTCCAAAGATTACAAATCTCGTAAAGAATGAATGTAAAGTTATGTGTTTGTATTTGCACTTTTCGTTATGTCTTTGTATTTGCACTTTTCGTTATGATAATTTATATTTTTTTTCATTAAATAATTAGGCCCCCTCTCATTATATTTGCTAAATCCGCCCCTGAGCATGACCTATGCGCAAGGATAACCTACTAATAGAAAGTAAAGGATCTAAGTTCATATGCAGACATAATTTATTTTGTATTCCACTTGACATCTTTCCGACAAATGTTCATCTTTTTGGCAGACATCGAAGCTAGTAAATCAATTTGAAAAGTTCATTGAATAAGGTACATTAATCACTAGTAAAAAGATAAATGTTGTATAATTTAAATTTATCACAGGCAAGGCGCGGGCTGATCACGGGCCAATCACAGACTGCATATGTAATTTGTGCATATAAATTTAGACAGACAATTAACTGAGCAAAGAACTCCAGTTGGTCTGAAATTTTGGGTATACGATCGTCTCGGCGAGAAGAATTCAAAGGCAGATCAGACACTTCTAAATGACTTGAGACGACACCTGAATTAGGCCAAAAATATAACAGCTCAAAATTTTTTGGACGAAATGTTGACCAAACAAATGAAATCTAATGAACTACAAATTTGTGGTTAGGACCATCCTGATGAAACAAATCCAAGGATGAGTCACCCCATTAAAACTTACTCTATAAGACACCAAAATGGCTCCTTGATAAAGAATAATTAGTTTGAGCTAAAATAATTTTAGATGACAAATTGCAGGCAAACAAGCTCCAATTGATATTCAATTTGGTGGGTACGGCTGGTTCGTAAAGAAAAATTCGATGGTGGGGGCACCCACCTAAACCGGATCTCATATGGTATCAAAATTATATCGGATAGAAAATAACAAAAATTCTTACCGATAAAAAATTGAGTGCGCAAACGAACTATGATTGAGCTAAAAGTTTATGGGTACGACTGTGTCGACGAGAAGAATCCAGAGGTGCCACTTGAAACGAACATCGCATGACATCCAAATTAAGCCTAAATGGAAACATCAAATTTTATGCTATAACTAATGATTAATGTACTTTATTTGAGTTTGATGAAATAATGATCCAACAAATTTAATAACAAATTTGTACCTACTATTTTTTTGTACCTACTATATTTTTTTTAAAGAATGTCAAATTTAATATCGTTTAAAAAAATTAACAAAACCAAGAAAAACACAAGTCCTCATAACCAAAAAAATCCCACATCGTAACATGGGAAAATACAATAAAAGCCACAAATAGAAAAGGAGAAAGGAAAAAAACAATACAATATATATGTAGTGGAGATCAATTAAAGCTTTAGAGGAGATAGGCAAAAGCCATGGCAGCAAAGGATGCGATGAAAGTTGGAATGAATACGGCGGCGTCGGATTCCGGTGCCGGCGCCGGAGCTTCAGCGGCGGTGACGGCAGAGAGCATAACCATCATCAATGCAACAATAATCTTCATCTTCATGCCCTCCATAAATTCTGTTTTATTCTGTCTTTTATTACAATGAAAAGATGTNNGATCACTTTTGGTATTACATCATGTGAGGGCACATCTTATAATAATAGTCGCATGTCATCCACAACTGATTTTTATTAATGCGTATACAAATATAAACTCACTTGAAATATGGATTAATATGTAATTCATAAATGATTTCATGAGAAAAACATCCGTTATTTGCATGAAATTTCTGTAAATTTTGGTATTCTTTGAGACTGTAAATACATATACCCTTTTTACTAAATAATGGGAAATTCGCGTATAGACTATAGCTTTATATTTTTACTAAATAATGGGTAATATCTAGACTTCACCTGCCCAACAAAGGACAGGTTGTCCAAGACGAAAATCATAATTGTTACGAACACATGGCTGTCATCAAAGCTTAAGCTGTATTTCTTAACCACTGATTTGTCTTTTTGATCTTGATTACTTTTCACTACTTAATTTGGAGCTAAGTTCTTTTCTTAACCCACTTTTCATTTAAATAATTATATCTCCACAACGAATGAGCTGCCCCTCAGCCCCTATTATTAGAACCACATTATATATTATTCTGCAGTATATGTGCTAATAGTAAAAATGGTCATATAATGAATCTTTAAAGCATATTTGTTTAGATATATGTTCAAGTACTAAATAGGTGTAATTTATTTCCAAATAAGTATAAATTAGTATTTTAGAAAGGTGAACACCTCAATTGGCTTTTTATATAAGTATAAAATAGTATCCTTCCCGAGTGGAACATATATTCAGTACACTAGAAATTGTTTTGAGAAATAGATTGAGAAGTTGCGTATGATAGATCTGAGGTAATTTTTGGTACTATTCAAAAATGCTGGATCGTCGCACTTCTTGTTACAATGTATTTAGCTGAATGACCTAATCTAATGTGCCATATCTCCAAGTCACACATCTTGAAAAGAAAAGCTGCACTTGCACTAAGTTGGTTGAGGCTGTGGAAATTGGTAGTGTTTTGAATTTTCTAGTTTTCTGTCTGACTAAGAGATTGAATTGGCATAGGCCATCTTTAAGTACTCTCCATTGAGAAGGATTTGATTTGTAGCTCAATCCTTAATAACATGATCATCTGGAACTTAAAATAAGCATCATTATCATTAGCAAACTTAGAAACACTAAGTTTTGGATTTTCACGTTTTCCTCGTTCTTCTTCGGTAGTTTAGCTAATTCTCTTTCCATTGTAATCCCTTTATCCTTTGTTATCTGCTATCCAATCCATATATTGTCGTCGTCCTTTCCTTCTTTTTCTATGGTCTGTGTCTTTGTTAGGTTAGGTAGTGCTATCTTTTAGGTTTCTAATTGTGATCTACCAGTGACAGGGGAAGGTTGTGATCCGTACATCGAGGTGCTGGTGCGAAGGGATTCTCCGAGATTCTGATCCCGGCAGGCTGGATGGAGACGGACCTAACGGTGAAATTGCAAAAGTTTGTTCTCTCGGAGAAAGAAGAACTTGGAGTCGAGCTCAACGAAGGAGATGTTAACCCAAGCCTTGACGATTGTCGATTAAGCCTCATTGGCAAAGTGTATGGAGAAAAAAGAGTAAATCTGAATGGGCTGAAAGGGACACAGGCAGGTATCTGGATGACTAAGGAACCGATTAATGTTAGAGGAATTGGGCCCAATCTATTTCAATTCCTATTCAAGTCAGCCGAAGATAGGAATAAAATTCTTGAGGGCAAGACGTGGTCCTTCGACGGGCAATACATCCTACTGAAGCATTGGGAACCAGACCAATCGAGCTTCTCTGAAGAGGAAAAAAAGATTAAGATATGGGTTCAAATTTACCATGTCCCACTTCATTGGCTTACAGAAGAGACAAGTTTAAAAATTGGGAGGTTAATTGGAGAAGTGTTTGATGTGCAAATCCAACTGGGAACAACTGGAGTGGGCAAATAATCAAAGTCCTAGTTGAGTTCAAACTAAAAGAAGTTATGCCACGAGGAGCTCATATCAAACAGGGTGATCAAAGAAGATGGGTTGCATTCAGGTATGAACACCTCCAAAATCTATGTTTTTACTGTGGTCTAGTAGGGCACAGTGACAGAACTTGCCCCACGAGAAAAGAAGATGTTAAAAGAGGAGTGATTAAACCAGGCAATTTTGGTGAGTAGATGAGAGCTTCCTTTATTAGCCCCATTGAGAGTAGAAGTTTTAACTCCAGTCTAGGAGGGAGTGTTTCAGGAGAAAAACCTTCTAATGTGTCAAGAAGTAATGAGGTGGAAACTAGTGGAGTGGGAACTGGGTTGGGTTCCAAAGCTGGGATTGTAGAAGTGCCTAAGGATAGTGAAGGGCTGAAGGAAATTATAACTCCAAACCCACATGTGTTGGAGTCCAACCCCCAATGTGATATTACTAGGGAGTTGCAGAATGGGTTGAGTAGGGAAGGGTCTCATGATCCTGTTGATACTCTAAATGATGTTGAGCTTGTTGAACAAGATCAACTAGTGGATATTACTATCCAAACTTCTCCCACTTGGAGTAGAGTCATACAGACGAAAAAGAGATCTTTCCAAAAGCATCCCAAATGTGTTAGTCAGAAGGGTCCCGAGTCTATGGTGATAGAACAAGCTAGTGGTAGCTAACCAGTGTCTAAAAACAAGTCAGGAGGTCTGAAAAGACCATTTGAACTCAGTCCCCTGAGTGATATACCTGAGGAAAACTTTAGCCTGGAGAATAAAAAGCTGAAACTTGATGATACATCAATGTCTGCTGTGGTGGAGGAAACCAGCCCTAACTGGTCCCGAGGTTTTCAATGAAGGTCATTGTGTAGAACTGTAGAGGTTTGAGAGGATCCTCTACAGTTTCCCAGGTCAAAGAGGCTCTTAGAGTCCACCTCCCAGATTTTCTCTTCTTGTCAGAAACCAAAAAAAAAAAGTTTGTTATTACAGTGTGTAGGAAGTGTAAACTAGATAGTAGGTGAGTGTATGTAGATCCTGTGGGGTACAAAGGGGGTTTATTACTGTGTTGGTCTGAGAAGGTTCATGTGATCAGTTTGGTGTGCTTGGATTTCTGTATCCAGGTGCAATTCTCTCTGAATAACAATGAACCTATGTGGGGAATCTTTGTGTATGCTAGCACCAATCATATAGAAAGGGCTAGTCCTAGCTAGACATAGTATTAACTGGGGGAACGTTTGGTTCATTGGAGGAGATTTTAATGATCTTCTATCTAACCAAGAGAAAAATGGAGGGATCTGTAGACTTGAAAGTAGTTTATCTGATTTTAGAACTTTTGTCAGTACTCTTAATCTGGTAGAGTGCAAGGTCAGTGGGCATCCATTTACATGGTCTACCTAAGAGTAGGTAAGGATTTTGTTGAGGAAAAATTAGATAGGTTTTTCCTCTCCCCGGATGGGAGTTGTGTTGTAGCAAATTATTTTCATTTTACCGCGCACCGAATCGAATGATTCGTTTCCCGGGTCGATCTCTCGAGGAAAATGGTTCGGAATTTAGAAATGGTATTGATAACACATAAAATCCTAAACACTCTAATCAAGATAGGATTGGTTTTTTATTATCAACTAAGAAATAACAAGAAATATAAATCTATCTAAAAATATAAACGATAAAAAGAAAAACGAGCTAGGGTATCGGGAATAATCACTTCCGGTTCTACCCACATTTGACGGCAATCAATAACTCGGTTAAGTTGTTCGACTAACTAACTCATTTAGCGGTTTAATCTCACTAACTCTCGTAATATGAGGATAAACATAAAAGAACAAATTAACGAAACAATTAACACATAGACAATACGTCTCCGATCATGTCTACTCTAAACGAGCCAAATTCCACCAATTCTCCCCTCTCGGTTTTGAAATTGATTATCTCTACGACTCCTCCCCTTTCGGTTCTAAAAGTTGCAATTCGTAGAATTAACAAACTCTAACTCAACAAATCAATATTCACTCACAAATCAAAGTGTCACTCTTTGATTATATCAACAATTAACCTAAGTGTCACTCTTAGGTTATAACCATTTATCGAGTATGATATTATCAATTTCAAATTAAAATAACTCGTCAAGAACGACCTATCGTCATGCACATAAACGAGAACAAACCGAAATGATTATCCCCTAACCCTAGCTAGAGGATTAGCTACTCATAATTGATTCAACACAACAAAATATTTCTCCTAAATTAACCATTATGCATGAATTAATTCAAAGAGAAATTAAACTTACATATCAATCTCCAAGTGTTGATTTCAAATACAAGCTTCAACCAAAAGACAAAATAAAGAAAATACAAGAAGAAGAAAGAGAGGGAGAAATGGAGAAGGAGGAGAAGGCAAAAATGGGGGAGAACCCCCTTGGTTCAATGCATGAAAGGTCCTCCTTGGTGGTGATGATCATCCCCTTTTTTGTAGTGGAATGGAAGAGAAAAAGTAGTAGTGTTCTCCCAAACACCATAGCTGAATTTAAGGTGGAAATTCTGGTCCAAAGTTCGCCACTTTCAAGCATCCTCAAGACAAGCCCAGATTTGAGAAAAAAGAAGAACATGTTGTCTGCCAACAAGAGCTAGCGCCGCTAGGGGGGTGTTAGCGCCGCTAGGGGGGCTAGCGGCGCTAGCCTTACTTAGTGGCGCTAGGTCATTGATGTCCGGAGCCTCAGAAGTTCGCTAGGCGTGTTAGCGCCGCTAGCAGGCTACCCTTAGCGGCGCTAAGGGTACCTAGCGGTGCTAGGTTCTGGTCTGGCTCTATTTTGGTGATTTTCGATGCTCTCGCTCCGCGTGCTCTTGGTTAATGTTTCCCAGGTACTGCCCGAGCTGAAAATTTGACTCACGAGTGTCTTGGACGGAATAAACGGTGCGGAACTCCTCGGGACCGGAACGAAATCGTCAAAAGCCTGTAACCACCACAACCGGAAAAACACGAAAAACAAGAGAAATAGGAAGAAAAATAACAAAAATAACAGACACACCAAAATAACAATGAAAATACAAGAAACAACTAAAGGGACCGAAAAATACCTAAGAAACGACCTAAACGAGGGAGAAGACTGACGAAATACTAGTAAAAATAACAACAAAAATGGGACAAACAAGTTGTTTATATCCTAATGCCCTGGTGAAACACTGATCTATGTTGTCTTCAGATCACAGTTTAATGATTTTTTGGATGTGTTCAATAAAACTGAAAAGACCCTAAAAAGATTTCATTTTGATGCCAAATGGATAAATCAGGAGGGTTTTGAGAAAGTAGTAGAAGTTGCGTGGAACAGAATGGTCAGGGTCCTAGACTTTTCAATGTGCAGGAAAGGGTGAAGAATGTCAGAATGGCTCTTCTGAAGTGGAATGCTTCAAAAAGAAATAATTCTGCCAAGGCCATTTCAAAGCTTAATCACAGACGGGAAGCTCTAACAGCTGTTGGTTATCAGAAAGATTGGGAGGAATGGAAATCTGTGTGATCACTTCTTCATGCTGCTTATAGAGAGGAAGAAGTATATTGGAGGCAAAAATCAAGGATTTCTTGGCTGCAAGAAGGAGACAGAAACTCCAAATTTTTTCAAGCTTCTGTGAATCAGAGAAGGAAGATTAACAGCCTGGAAAATCCTTGTACCAGCTCAGGCACAAAATGCAGCAATTTGGAGGAAACTACTGAGGTACTAGAGAACTACTTTGCTGCTCTGTTCACCACCACAACCCCTCATATTCAAAGTTGCAGCCTTGAAGGTATTCCCCTGTCCATAACCAAGGAGATGAATCAAAAGTTAGTCAAAGAGGTTTCTGAGAAGGACTTTAAGATGGCCTTATGGGATATGGGCACTGATAAAGCCCCGGGATCTGATGGCATGACAGTTTTGTTTTTCCAAAAATCCTGGGTAACTGTTAGATCACATTTATGTTCTGCCATTCAAAATTTCTTCCTCTCAGGTCAGATTCCTAAAGATCTCAATCATACCATTTTTTCTTTGATTCCTAGAAAAAAAATATCCCTCTTTGGTGTCTGAGTTCAGGCCTATTAGCTTGTGTAATATAATTTACAAAATTATAGCTAAGATTCTTGCTATGAGGCTAAAACCCATGCTTAACTGTTGCATATCCACCTCCCAATCTGCATGTGTGCTAGGGAGGCAGATTCTTGACAATGCTATCATTGCCAATGAATGCATTCATTTCCTTAACAGTAAAAGAAAAGGAAAGAATTGCTTCATGTCTGTGAAATTGGATATGTCAAAAGCTTACGACAGGGTTGAATGGGGATTCTTAGTTCATGTTTGTAGGAAAATGGGGTTCTGTGATAGATTTGTATATTGGATCATGGTCTGTGTCAGTACTTCTTCTTTTTCTTTTAAGGTCAATGGGCAGGTTGTTGGTTTTGTCAATCCTAGTAGGGGTCTCAGACAAAAGGACCCACTGTCCCCTTATCTGTTCATAATCATCACTGAAGCATTCTCCAATTTAATTAACAGAGCTAAAATCCCTGTCTCAATTCCAAGTAAGTATTCTCCTATAATTTCTCATTTGTTCTTTGCTAATGACTCTATTTTGTTTTGTAAAGCAGATGAGGAGCATGCCCTTCTCATTTTGAGGATTCTTGATAATTATGGCTTAGCTTCAGGATAGGTTGTCAATCTTGAGAAATGCTCAGTCTACTTTTCCCCTAATACTCCTCTTCATAAAGCTGCTGATATCAGAAATGTCCTTACAAGAATTGTTCATGTGAAAACATCCAAGTACCTCGGTCTCCCTCTGGGGATTGGTAGATCTAAGAGAGAAATTTTCAGATTTGTGAGTGATGCTGTTCAAAATAAAATTTCCGACAGGAAAAATGTTTATTTGAGTGAGGCAGGGAGGGAAATACTGATTAAAACAGTGTTGGGAGCTTTACCTACTTATATTATGTCTTATTATAAAATTCCTTTATCCATTTATGATGACATTTGCAGGAACACAACTAACTTTTGGTGGGGGAAGAGGGAAGGGGGTGGGAATAAACTCCATTGGGCTAGACGGGATAGGTTAATTAGATCTAAGGAGGAAGGAGGGATGTGGTTCTGGGATTTGAGAGCTTTCAATGAGGCTCTCCTTTTGAAACAGTTGTGGAGGATTCTTACTAAACCAAATCTGTTAATGAGTAGAGTGATGAGGGGTAGGTACTTTCACAATTCCAAAATCATGGAAGTCAAGCCTAAAAACAGTGACTCCTGGCTTTGGAGGAGTTGGATGGGGGTGAGAGGGGCTTTAGGGAGAGGAGTGAGATTTCAAATAGGGAATGGGAAATCTGTGGATATATGGGATAGTCCTTGGATCCCTAATATCCCATCTTTCAAACACAGAGTAGATTTTCTTTCTGATAGGCTTAGAATGAAGAAAGTGAGTGATTTGATTTGTAGGGGAGAGTGGGATGAGGGGCTTATTCATCAGTCATTTGATTCTATCACTGCTCAATCAATCTTGGCTACACCTGTCAGCCACTGTGATATGCAGGATAAGTTGATATGGAGCTTCACCAAGAATGGCAGGTTTACTGTCAAGTCTGCATATGGGAATATCATTAAATTCAATCAGAGCCAGAGGGAAGGAAGGGAAGCAGGCCCCAGCACTAATCGTGATCAGAAAATGTGGAGCAATACTTGA